CCACCACCTCCTCCTCCTCCTCCCCCCCCCTTCCTTCTTTCCTTCCTCTTGGCCTTCTCCTTTGCTTCTTTTTAATTCTTGTTAGTTTAGTTTATTATGCTTTAAATAGCAAAATAAAAGACAAATACCAAAACCTCATGTTCCTAATAAATGAAATTCTAAAACATTTTTGTCAGTACATCATATGGAATTTCCTCCTCATATTTTTATGTTTGAAGTAGACATTACTTAAATAATTACATGTTTCTCTTTCTTATATTCATACCTATCTTGGCAATTTTACATAGGTTTAAACCCTATAATTATTATGTAATAAATATAAAAGGATAAAAATGTCAATGAAATTTGGGCAAATATATTACTATTCATTATAATTCACCTACCTAGTTGTTGGTTTACTTCATGCCATTATTACATAGATTTTTATAGTGCTGAGTTTGATATTAATAATAGAGCATCAGTGTTTGATGGTATAACTACTGTGTAAATTTTAATGATTTTTTTTCTTTTTTTTTTCTGCCAGTTCTGGGGCTTGAACTCAGGACCTCAGTACTGTTGCTGAGCTTCTTTTGCTCAAGGTTACCTATTCTATCACTTGAGCACCACTTCCAGCCTTTTCTGATTATGTGGTATTGAGGAATCGAACCCAGGGCTTCATGAATGCTCGGCAAGCACTCTACCCACTAAGCCTCATTTCCAGACCCCTTAATAATTTCTTGAAGGAAGGGCCCCAAATATCCTTTACTGCAGGCTGCTAGGCTCACCTAAAAGTTAGTTCATTATCCCCTTGCCAAACCATCTTCTACCTCACAGCCATGCAGTTGCTCAAGCTGGACAACTCTGATTGTATTCATCTGTCACTATCCCAATAGGCATCTTCTCCATCTCCACTAGTACCACCTCAGTCCAAAAGCATGGCCACTGGGTCTCAGGTAGTCCTTGTCATCTGCCCATCACTTTCACTACATCCTCAGTGGTCTTACTAAAACTTAAATCTGATGTTGTCATTCCTCCTTTGCTTAAAGTACTATATCCCATCATCCAAAGGATAATGTAGTTTATTTATAGGGTGACCATATAATGTTTTGTTCAAATTGGGGTAATTTTGAAACCCAAAGGAAGCACTATTAGTAGTTACACCAAGAGCCAGGCAATGATGATTCATACCTGTTAATCCTAGCTACTTAAGTGGCTGGGATACATTGAGGATAGTGGTTCCAAGCCAGCCCTGGGAGAAAAGTGTGAGATTCTTATCTCCAATTAACCAGCAAAAAGCGGAAAACCCTATCTCAAAAAAAATAACCTTATGGCTCAAGCCTGTAATCCTAACTACTCAGAAGGCTGAGATCTGAGGATCGTGGTTCAAAGCCAGCCTGGGAAAAGTGTGAGACACTTATCTCCAAACCACCAGAAAACTGAAGTGGTGCTGTGGCTCAAGTGATAGGGCACTATACTTGAGCTGAAGAGCTGAGGGACAGCACCCATGCCCAGAGTTCAAGCCCCACTACTGACAAATAAATAATAACAGTATGTGCTTAGTGCAATATGTCTGCCTACCCAAGACAAGGAAGTGTTAAATAGTTAAGGGCTCTGTACTCAGAATGTTTTCCTGGTACAATTGTGTTGTCTTTTTTATTGTTGTTCCAATACTGGGACTTGAACTGGGGCCTCTCACTCTGACTTGGTGTCTTTGTTCAAGGCCAGCATTCTAGTACCTCTAGTTCTGGCCTTGTGCTTTTGCTTGGCTTTTCACTTGGCTGAGGTTGCCAGCTCCACTTTGGTTTTTTTTTTTTTGTTTTTACTGGTTAATCAGAGAAAAGAGTCTTTCTGATTTGTCTGCTCCAACTGGCTCAACCCTTAGATCTCTACCTTCTGCGTAGGTTGGACTGTAGGCAAAATCCACTGATGCCCAGATTGGATTCACTTTTTTTGTTTGTTTGTTTTGGTCATGAGTCCTGAATTCTGGGCCTGGGCACTGTCCCTCAGCTCTTCAGCTCAAGGCTAGCGCTCTACCACTTGAGTAACAGTGCCACTTCTGGCTTTTTCTGCTTATGTGATGCTGAGGAATTGAACCCAGGGCCTCATGCATGCAAGGCAAGCACCCTACCACTGGGCCACCTTCCCAGGCCCTTCACTTTTTAGCTATTGATAAAATTGTATATTTGGTTGTTTTGTCTTTTCCTTGAGGAAGGATCTCAATATGTTACCCAGGCTAACTTTACTTCTCTGGGCCCACTTTTGCTTTGGCCTCTAGCTGCAGGCATTTGGTTCAATGAAATTCTAAAATAAAGACTTCTTGACCCCACAGGATTGTAAGCCCAACTTTTATTTTTTTAAAAAAGTATAATTAGCTGGGTTGGACATGTAAGTGGTAGAGTTCCTGTCTAATATGTACATTTGATTTGATCCCCCAGCATTGCAAAAACAAACAAGTATCATTAGAACAATTTTATACTTCTCAAAAAAAAGGAGTCGATTTTCTGAAAGGCTCTAGAAGGTTCATTTTGAGGACTTTCATGAGAGCACTTAGATACTTTGGAACTTACATGTTTACTTGTACATTATAAAAAAGTATGTGTTTTCTTCATTAGTATGTCATCAAAAAACTGAACCTCCGAAATGCCTCTAGCCGAGAGCGGCGAGCTGCTGAACAGGAGGCTCAGCTCTTGTCTCAGCTGAAGCACCCCAACATTGTCACCTACAAAGAGTCATGGGAAGGAGGAGACGGTCTTCTCTACATTGTCATGGGCTTCTGCGAAGGAGGTGATCTGTACCGGAAGCTCAAGGAGCAGAAAGGACAGCTTCTGCCCGAGAGTCGGGTGGTAGAGTGGTTCGTACAGATCGCCATGGCTTTACAGGTACCACCTATACTCAGCATCCCGCTTGTTCCAAGGTGGCAAGAGGTTACCAGGTGTATTTTAGAATTTTTTTTCCACAAAATACTTAGTGAAAAAGAATTTTTGGAAAGCCCACTTATAAGCTGAAGTCAGTCCCTCTTAATGTAACTTTACAGTGTTTCTAAGTGAAACCTTGATTTAAGTAGATAGGTTTCATCTATAACTGGAGGGAATCCTCTTCTTTACTCTGAGTTGAAAAAGAGCGAAGGGTGGCCATGCTTAGTATTTGCTGGCCAACGGTGTCATGCTGAAAGGTAGCTGGGCTGATTCATATTGTTGTACTTGGGGCTTTGGGCTTCCAGCCTGCTGTGATTAGAGGCTGCAAATGTAAAGCAAGTTTGTGTTTTAATATGCACATACTGTTTTTTTGCTTGGGATTTTTTTTCCCACACTGTGTTTAAACTGTCACTGGAACTAGAAAGACTTATCCAGAATTAATTGATCTTGTTTATATTTTCAGAGACTCTCTTTAAATAAAAATGATTCTTGTTATTCTTGAAGATGTTACTACATTCAGGATTTCATCAGTGAGAGTTTGTTAGTATATATTTTTAATTAGATCTAGATGTAGTTGTTAAGTTACCAGGAAACAATTTTGCAAAGTTCTAGACCAGTTGATGCCTAGAACTTAATTTTTATCACTTTGGAAGTGGTAAATGAGACCTCTTATTTAAATATTACAGAATAGTAATATTTTAGTAGGTAGTACCTATGGATGTTTAACTCACAGAATAACTGAAGATACAGAAGAAGCCGGAATAAATAAATAAACCAGTATGTTTATATGTAATGAAATTTCATTTTTCTTCCCAGTATTTACATGAGAAACATATCCTTCATCGAGACCTGAAAACTCAAAATGTCTTCCTGACAAGAACAAACATCATCAAAGTGGGTGACCTAGGAATTGCACGAGTGTTAGAAAATAATAGCGACATGGCCAGCACCCTCATTGGCACTCCCTATTACATGAGCCCTGAATTGTTTTCAAACAAACCCTACAATTATAAGGTAAGATTGGGCTGTGAAAGCTGGTTCACCCTATGTCTGAGAACTTGCTCAGAACTTCAGAACCCATCTGATGAGTTCAGTCAGAATTATCTATGAATCAGAAAAATGTAATTAAGGTGTTTTAACATTTAACCATTTACTGATTTTTTTCTTTTGTAGTCTGATGTTTGGGCTTTGGGATGCTGTGTCTATGAAATGGCCACTCTGAAGCATGCTTTCAATGCGAAAGACATGAATTCTTTAGTTTACCGGATTATTGAAGGAAAGGTAAACAGATAATCTAGAACTAATTGAGCAAGATTTATATAGCTACTGATAAGATCATTGATTTTTTTTTCCTTTTTTTCTTACATATGCTGGACAAATACTCTACCACTGAAATGTAGCCCCTTCCTTCTTTGATTGTTTTATTACTTATTAAGTAGTCATTGATACTGTATTAATAGTTAAGAAAGATGGGTCCCTTCTAGGGGCAAGGTTGAAGTTGAGGAGAAGGGATTGATCATTTCTTAATGCTAATTTGTAAAGGTGGTATAGTAGCTCCAAAGAGCCAGCTTTTTGAAACCAGTAGCTGGGAGATGTACAGATTCTTTGAGAGGCTATTAGTATCTTTTGGGAAGTTGGTAAGTGAATATCCTACTTACAATCAGTGTTTCCTTGTTTGTCCTTTTGATAATCATCACAATTGTTAACACTGCAGAAAGCATTGTATATTGCCATATGTAATTTCCATGAGGTTATGTCATATCAGTCATCCATGGATTGCTGGCTAACTTTGGACTCTTATTCATCCTACCTCAGCCTCCCAAGTGCTGGGTTTATAGACAGGTACCACCACATCCAATTGTGTACTATTAAGTTCTAAAGTCTTAAGTCACTTACTGATTTTAATATTATCCCATGACCCCTTTAATTTTTTTAGTTTGAAAAATAGTTTAAAATATACACAAAAAAGTTAAATTTGCCAATTCCTGTACTTAAAGAATCAAATAAGAATGTGTGACCTGGCTAGATTAGGAAGATTGTGGTTTGAGGTAGGTCTAGTCTGTGTGTGTGTGTGTGTGTGTGTGTGTGTGTGTATTTCCTTTCTGTATAATAATAATAATAATAATAACAACAACAAATTTAAAAAGAGTTTACTCCAGGTGCTGGTGGCGCATACCTGTAATCCTGGCTACTCAAGAGGCTGTTTTGAAGCCAGCCCAGTCATGAAACTCCATGATACTCTTATCTCCAATTAACTACTCAAAAACTGGAAGTGGAGTGTTTGCTCAAGTGGTAGAGCAATAACCTTGCACAAAAAAGCTCAGAGACAGAGCTCAGGCCCTGAGTTCAAGCCCTAGGGTCAGCACAGAAAACATTTTTTTTTTTAAATTAAAAAATTCACAAAACTCTCCCATGCCCATCTCAACCAATAAAAAATGTTGGCATGGAGATACATACTTGCTGTATTGCAGCTACACAAGAAGGGTAAACAGGAAGATTTTGGTGTCTCTCCCAGCCTAGTAAAAGAGGGAGATCATGGCTAGGTGCTGGTGACATACTCCTGTAAACCTAGCTACTTAGAAGGTTGGGATTGAGGATTGAGATTGGAAGCCTGGGGCAGAAAGGGTTGGGAATATGGCTCAAGTTTTAGAGCCCAAACTTCAGTAACATCAAATAAAAAGAATTGAGTGAAACCTCTTACTTTTAATTTCCATACTTGCCTTTAAACAGAAATAACTGTATATATCCACATATACCTGATTCTAAAAAAAATAAACTGAAATTGAGTCAGGCTTTACATAGTATTATAAAACTTACTTTGTCTTTTTGGCTGTGCTAGAATTTGAATTCAGGGTCTTGTGATTGCTAGGCTGATGCTTTACCACACTTCCAGCTCTGGTTTTTGCCTTTTGTTTGTTTTTTTTGTGTGTGTGTGCTGGTCCTAGTGCTTGAACTTGGGGCCTGGGTGCTGTTCCTGAGCTTTTCTGCTAAAGGCTAGCACTCAACTACTTGAGCTACACTTAGGGCTTTTTGGTGGTTAATTGGAGATAAAAGTCCCATGAATTTTCCTGCCTGGGTTGGCTTCGAACCCTGATTCTCAGATTTCAGCCTCCTGAGTGATTACAGTCATGAGCCACTGGCACCTGGGTTTGCTGGTTATTTTTAGGCTAGGATCTTGTTTCTTGTCTTGGCTCATGCCTGGACTTTGATCCACTTACTTTAAGCTTACTATAGTTGCTGGTATCAGAGGTGTTTGCCACATTGTCCAGCTTCCTTTTGTGGAAATGAAGTCTCATGGGAGTTTCTGCCCAGGCTGTCATGGAAATGCAGGTAATATCAGCCTTTCACATAGCATATATTATGCTATGTTGTTGTGCCACTGCACCCTGCTGTGGGTTGACAAAGAGTCTTTTTTGCCTAAGCTGACTACAAACCATGATCTTCTCAAACTCGGCCTCCCAGGTAGCTAGGTTTACAGTTGAGCCACTGACACCTGGCACGCAGCTTGTATTTTTTTTTAATGTATGAGGGATATATTTCCTGGTTAGTACTTGTCTTTTTTTTCAAAGGAGCTATCTAGTATTTTATAAGAATATACCATAATTTATTTCACAACTATGGATATATTTAAGTTGTTTTTACTTGTTGACTATTGGAAGAACAACACTGCATTAAACATCTCAGTATATGCATCTTTACTGCGATGTATGCTCTTAATTTTCTGAAGGAGAGATTTCTAAAATGGGGCTGCTGGATTGAAGGCAATAGTTTTACTATCTTAAACCTGCTGTTACAAACTGGTACCAATATACTTACTATAGACGAATACGCTAGTTACTGCCTACTTCTGTGGATAAATAAGTAATTTAAATAAATACTGGTACCTTCTACTTTTACTTTGCTTTATGAGATCATTAGTCCTAATTGTAGCATTGCTTTTCTTTGTAGCTGCCACCAATACCAAGAATTTATAGCCCAGAGCTGGCAGAACTCATCAGAACAATGCTGAGCAGACGGCCTGAAGAAAGACCCTCTGTGAGAAGCATCCTGAGGCAACCTTACATAAAACACCAAATATCCTTATTTTTGGAGGCCACAAAGGCGTAAGATACTTCTCTTGTAAATAACAGGGCTAAAGAGATGGCATAAGGGCTGGAAAGGTGGCTCAGTGGTAGAGCGCTTGCCTTGCATGCTTGAGGCCCTGGGTTCGATTCCTCAGCACCACATAAGCAAAAAGAAAAAAGCTGGAAGTGGTGCTGTGACTCAAGTGGTAGAGTGCTAGCCTTGAGCTGAAGAGCTGAGGGACAGCACCCAGGCCCAGAGTTCAGGCCCCACAACTGGACCCCCCCCCAAAAAAAAAAGATGGCATAAAAGATGTTAGCTTCTGTAATTTTCATATGCAAGAATTTATAGTGAGTTGTTTGTTTTTTTTTAAGGCAGGTACTGGAGCTTAAACTCGGGGCTTGATCATTCAGCTTTTTCCATTGAAAGATCCTTAGCAATTTCCACTTAAAGCTTGTGTTTACCACTCAAGCCACAGCTCTATTACTAACTTTTTGCTAGTTAATTGGCGATATGAGTCTCTGGCTCCCAACCTCAATCCTCAACCTTCTGAATGTGAGCCACCAGCCCCTGTCCCTGAGTTTTCTTTAAACAGGAAGTAAAAAAGCATGATTAGAATATGGGAGAAAGCAAAATTCTACCCTGAGGGTTTTTTGTTTAACCCTGAGAAGTTAAGGGGCATAAGATAAATTAACAGGAGAAAAACATACAAAATTTGTTTAACAAGTCTTGTTGTGGGTTTTTTTTTTTTTTTGCCAGTTGTGGGGCTTGAATTCTGGGCCTGGGTGCTGTCCCTCAGCTCTTCAGCTCAAGGCTAACGCCCTACCACTTGAGCCACAGTGCCACTTGCGGCCTTTTTCTGCTTATGTGGTGCTGAGGAATCGAACCCAGAGCCTCATGCATGCAAGGCAAGCACTCTACCACTGAGCCACCTTCTCAGCCCTGTTTAACAAGTCTTATGTGACACAGTAGCTCTCATGAGGACCCAAAGAAGTGGCAAAACCTAAATGCATCTTTACTAATCTGAGCAGAGGGAAAGTAACTATGAACTAGATGGAGAGGCCAAAGGAAGATTAGACGTTTTAATAAGGTCTGTTTATACAGAGCTTTCTTCTACTTCTTAATGATAAGAATGTTACTTTCCTTCTGGTTTGTGAGTTTTAGCTTTAGCTTTCAGGAATCAGGAGGAGAGGGTTAGATTACCCTTTTTATACCTTCCCTCCCT